TAACTATAGCCCCGTGGTTCCTCCAGTATAAACTTCAACCAATTCACACCAATCTGCTGAACTCAGCAGGCTCGGGCAGGGGAAAATGGACCACAACTGGGCACCAGCAGGCTACTCCAAAGCAGAGGTTGGAGGACTTCATCACATTCAGGCTGTTCAAACTCTGTGTTACACTTGGTCCTTAACTTACTTTATACACTTAAAGAGACATTTCATTTAATCCCCAATATATGCAATGTTTTTAATACTTGAGAGCTTCTGTTTCTTGAGAAAGCACAGGTGTGGTATCTGGCTATTGCATGAAAATCAAGACAAATGCCAACATAAGAACTGACTAAATAATTTCCTGTGTAACCACTGCTGAGTCATCTGTGTTATCATAGCCAAAAGAAGTAAAGAAGCCCTGAGAGAGGAAAAGCACCTAAGCAATAAATATGCTGAATAAAGTGAAGTTATCATAGGTAATCAATTGTACATTTTAGAGCTTCCATGTCTCATAGCTATTAATCTCTTACAGTTTCATGCCTGGGGAATTAGTTGATACTTTAGTGGTAAATTAACAAATCAAATGAAAAGGGCTAATCAATAACATATGCCAATAAATAAAGTTTAAGCTTAAGCATTCCCTCTGAGTAATAAATTAACTTGACAATTTATCTTCTTATGAAAATGCATTTTATATAACTTTGTATAACCAGACCTTTCTACTGGTTTTCAAGTGCAATCAGCTATAATCTCTCCACTCCTTGCATCCCACACCATGGTACAACAGCAGAGGGGACTCGGAGCTGGTCTTTGCCAGAGAAATGGGCCACAGATACTAAGCAAATGGAGATGGATGGGGCTCCATGTGCAGAGCAGTAGACAAGCTGTCCCTGATAAATGGGTTTTCACCAGGACACTTGATCTCTCTCGCTCTCAGCCTAAAAAGCAATCTCACACTTTGCATGTCTGTGAATATTAACAAACCCTCAAACCCTGCACTCAAATGTCATCTATTGTGTCGCACATGGTGCCAGGCAAGAGAGCCAATTTGATGGAGAGGACTGTTCCTCTGTGTGTTTGAAATAGAGTCAGAGGAAGGGGGAAAAAAGAAATCCGGCTCTCTTTTCAGACATCCATCAACAGAGAACAGGTATAGTATGGTTCTGGTTCCAAGGTCCCATGAAATATTGCGGCTGCCAAGATTAATACTAGACTCTGGCAAGGTCCCCCAGTGCTATTTTCTTCAGTGTACATTTTTCTAATTATTCCATTTTACTTCAATCTTGAGTATTGGGATTATGTGCATGATGACATACTGCTCTATTAATGCATTTTAGTGAGTGAAAAGTTGCTAGAAAATTTTATTTCATTAGGAACTCTATAGCACTCTATAAAAACTGAGTAATGTAATAAATCTAGGCTGGTCTGAGCACACTTAAGCTTATCTAATATCCAACATTTCAAATGACTGTATCCGTTAGCAGCTGTGGCTGCCACCACGGAGAATGACACAGGGTTAATCCCACACTACTGTCCAACATGGACAAATATGACATTAATCAAATGGAGCCATTTCCTTGTGATCTGCAGGCAGCAGCTTCGTGAATGAAAGTGTGGAGGAGGGTCGTCTGCACCATTCCTCCCTCCATCCTTCTCTTTATCCGCCTCCTCTCTCCTCCAGTCAAAGCGACAGGTTGACCCATATGAACCATCTGTCATTGATGCAGTGCCTCACACCTCTCAGTCTGGCCCCTGGAGATCAACGGCATATGCCACAGCGGCTGTGGGAAGCAGGCTGGTGTGGGGATGATAACCCAGGGCAAGCACAGGATGTGCAACCTGGGGTCCAGAGACTGAGGCCAGGCAGGGAGATGCTCTCCAGGAGCCTGGACTCCACTTATTCTGGAGGTCATGATAAAAGGTAGAAGAAAATCTCAACACACCACTTTGCTGCTGCACTCACATCTTTTAACTTTAATTGCATTCATATGTACAGTGTAAATGCCGCATCCAAAAAGTCCTCCGAGTATGATCTATGGCATATTCTGAAATTACTGTAGAAGGCAAACGCAATCACACGAAAATAACCTCTGATTAAAACACATGAAACAGATGTACCCTCTATTATGTTGCCATAGTTTACTACAGCTTCCAAATTTGAACCCCATTTGAAAATAATTAAAGTACCAAAATATTAAAAATGTCAATTTGTGTATGCTTTTCACACACACAAACAGCTGTTGTCACTTAAACTAATTAGACACATCTATTAAAGGTCCATTATGTGACATTTAGGAGGCTCTACTAGCAGAAATGCAATATAATATTCATATGTATGTTTTCATTGGTGTGTAATCACCTGAATATAATCTTTATGTTTCTGTTACCTTAGAATGAACCTTTTATATCTACAGACACCATGGGTCGCATTCCATGGAGTCCGCCATGTTGAACTACCATGAACACTGGCTGTAGATCGGGCATGGATATTAGGCATGGATTGCTGCACGGTTGGTTAGGTTGCTAAAACTTAGTCAAAATACAGAAACATGGCAAAGCAAAAAAAAAAAAAGAAAATCATATAGTATTATCCAATCTGTAGTTACCGAAAAAACATCAAAAGGCAGAAGTCAAAAAATAAATAAAGACAATAATTAAGGTGGATGTGAAATTACACCACCCCCATCTTGGACTTTCCAGCAGGTTCTTGGAGAAGATGGCGCTGCCAAAATCTATTAATGTTTCCATCCAACACACCACTGCTGAGAATCTGCAAGTACTGCATGTGCCCCTTGTAGTCCGCAAGAACATCCACCTCCTACATAATCGCCCACGTGCCCTGATAAAGAGCCATGAAAAGCTGCCATGCAAGACTAAATGCGCATCTCTGGTGTGTATTCTTCTGCTCTTTTTCCAAAGCCACATGGAACAAAAAAAAACCAAGGCCTCATCATCAAAGATTTAAACTCGTTTCACAAGTAATGAGCCCTTTTTTTCCCCAATTGCTGACCACTGGTATAAAGCTATTCCTTTGACCATAAACCACATCCAGATCCAAACAAAAGGAAACTTTACAAACCAAACAACAGTAATTTTATGATCAAACAGAAATCGAAAAATTCTCGTCTTCTACCACGGGATAGAGTCACATCCATGAAATGATAACTAAGATATAGAAACATCTCAGGAATGAAAGTCATGGCTTGAGAAAAGAAACTACTGTGCTAATCACCAAAATCAAAGCACAAAGCCACTGCAACACCAGTAGCAAGGCAATGAAAGTTGGTTGACTTTCTTTTGCGCAATCAAGTGTAAATATATATATAGTTCATTATTTTGTCAGACTTTTGATAGTCTTGATTCATTTAAAATATTGCAGCATACAACACATCCCACCTTTGTGTCATTCCTCTGATGTTACACACGAGTCAGAAAGGCAGTCAGAACCTGTGACGACGAGCTGGAAGAGGGCTTCCAAACAACAAATGTGTGTACGAAACTGTGATGACAGGTATGCCGTGGCATGCCTGTGACCTGAAAATCAGGAATTCCAATCTGAAAAGCTCATTGAACATACTATAACTTAGATGGGTGACAGATTGCACACTGTTTTTCACTAGTCTGCTGAATACTTCCAGGCTTCCTCGAATTCCTGGAGGGCATTTTTCTGTTCAGAATGAATGCCCTTGTACTTTTCATAACAAAATTGACATTGTTGACTTGATAAATCCCTCAGAGATATGTCTTAGCGCTGCATGACTTTTCCACTGCACAATGCCAAATCCCAGGGGACCAGGGTGTCATATGGTGCCATATGAGAGTGCCCACTGTGATGATAATTTTACTGGGCTGCCAGATCCTGCCTTCTGCTGTGGCATTGCTATGTGTGCGTTCTCTGTTCTTTTTGTGAGCAAGATTGAGAAAGATATGAGGTATGATGACAGAGTGGGTGTTTGGGACATAGGACCCATCTGTCCCTGCCCTCCGTCCCACAGAGCCATCAGCCCGGACCGGGCCAGACCAGGCAAAGTCCAGCCGGACATGGTCAGCTGACACACCAGGGCTTGGATGGCAAAATGCCGGATGCTCTAATTAAGCTTATGCTGTTTGTCGACTTTCTCTGCATGGATGCCAACATCACAGCATGCCAAAGGGTTGTGAGTCACGCTTCCTGAGTGGAGAGCCACAGACACTTGCTATAGGGGTGCTCTATGAGGGGTGTGTCCTGTCCTGAGAATACTGGCCCTGAAGCATGGCGATATGGTGATAAGAAAACAACACAAACCCTGGACAAACAGGCCTCGTGGACAGAAACGGCACAGCCACAGGGGTCTGACATTTCAGGAAAGCTATGGCGCTAACAACACTCTTTGTTTTCTGCCAGAAATCGACATTATGAACAGGAGCCTGTCTGGTAGCGAGAAATTGCTGTGTCATTGAGCTGAAATGAACACATCAGTGGAGACATTGTCCATTTAACATGGTGACACTAATAAATTCATCGCCAAATATCCTCAACTCCCGGACTCTAATATAAAATGAGGGGTGATTCAATACGCCAGGTGTAATTACCATGTGCAATAACGAGCAATGGAGAGAGTGACGGCGGAGCTTTTCTCTGCCAGGGTAGATTATAGATTGTAGTAATTGCAATTCTGCCTTAATTATGAATGTAGCACTTCATGCAACAAGCAGAGACAATGTCTTAGACACCATATTTCTAGTATCTTCTTAACTGTGGTGGCAAACATCAGGAACATCAATCAATATGTAATTACATTTTGGGCTTTTTATTATACAAATAAATTATAAATAAAATGTAATTGATAATCATGCTAATTTATTTCCAGCTTCCTCAAAATATATGATGTTTAATATTTCTCAAACTATGAAAAGGGAAGTGCTCAGTTTTTATTAATAGATAGAATAGATTAGAATCAGCTTTAGAGGTTGTGTTACTGACTGTGGTCAAACAATGAAGCAGGGTGGTGTGGAAGTGGATTCGTGGGACGTACCCCTCTCTGTTGTCCTCTTCATCTGGGTTCGAGATGAGCTGGGAGCCAGCCAGGGATATATCCAGGGCGGCTAAAGGCAAGTCTCTGTAGGTGAAGCTGACCAGCTGGACAGGGGCCACGCACTGGTTGTCCTCCTCCACTTGCTGGGAGATAACCTCCAGCTCGGAGGCACCAGCCTTAGGAGGAGCCCTATGACACACACACACACACAGCACACACACCAACACACACACCAACACACACACCACACACACACACACACAACAACACACACACACACACACCCAACACACACACACACACCACAACCAGAGCTGCATTAGAGAGAGTCAGAGGATGGATGTGTTGTGTCATCCATGTGTGATTTTGCATGTTTTGTCTCATTATACAGTAGCAAAAATGTATATAATCATGTCACCTAGTGCAGTGGTGTGAATTAGAGCAGTAGTGTAAGGTTGTATGAAGTGTGCTGTAAATTTAAATTGGTTAATGCACCTACTTGGAAAATGCTCCAGGTAAAGTGTGATAATAAGAACTGGGACTATGCTTAATTTTGATGAATGAAAACACAAACATGGTGTGAAATTCCTTGTTTCCAGTGTTGGCTGGCACCCTCAACAAGGACACATTTACCTGGCAAGTGATGGTGATCTACTTTTCTTATTAGCTGAGGATGCAGTGAAGTAAAGATGCCAATTTGCATTCCACACATATGAAAATATTAACAGTTTCTTGATTATAAAGGGTATCAATTTCAGCTTTTAGTACAAATTATATTTATACTTAACATTCTTTCAGACTACTTTGTAAAGCGTTCATTATTTTTTTGAATATTTATCACTAAAGACGATTTTTTGTGTTTTTGGTTAAGGTTATGCTGCTGCCCAGTTGGCTGCACTTAAGGATGCTCTAACACCTGATATTTCAGAACTGCTTGCCAACCAAAACGACATTTAGAATAAGACTTGTTTCAGCTTTGTTTTTTCCATTGTCATTAATCTACTGTATTTTCTCTGTGAAGTCGGCTATATTTGGCGGAACCAGACAAAATGCAATATTATCTGCAATTGAGGTCCTAAAACTTAAATGTGTAGGGAGGGCTGTGATCCCACAAGCTCAGCCAATAGCGGACAAGGAGAAGTCATCCTGGAACAGGAGTCTCACACGGCTTGGCAGGTGTCCCAGTGCAGCCAGTGTGGAGACATCAATAACTCCAGTGCTTAACAGTGGAGGAAGGCATTGATTACAAGACAGAGGGAACAAAGGCCATTGGGTTGGTGAATTCTACAACCTCTGTACTGTGCTGGAGGTTAAACAGTGGGAGTGGGAGGAACCAGTTAGTAGAAGATCACTGAGCAGACCCACCTTTCTGTTAAATGTTAATGTAGGCAGGCCTAAGGAGGAAAATAGGTCTTCCTTTTTCCTGACTTACTTCTTAACTAATAGTTGTTTAATGGACTCCCTTGAAAGGTTATTTTGTTATTCTCATAGAAAACCAAGAATCACTTGAACTATATTATCTTAACATGGCTATGAAAGACAAACTCTTATTCTCATGTCCTCACTACGTAAAATGCCTTTTCCCTTCCACCCTTAAATAGCTGATCCTTCAGTGTGTGTCCTGGTAGATGCGTTATGTAGTTTGAGGGTCAAACATCCATATATTACCCAGCTTGCCACTAAACACGCCTGCGCATCCCACTGTGGACTTGGCACCTCTGACCAACTGCAACAAGGACGCTAATCAGTCATGACAGACACAAACTGTTTAGTGCATCAAAATCACATTTCCAGACAATCACAGAGCAGGCCAGGAGCCATTATGTGCAGAGCCCAGTGGAGTGGCTGGTTGCCATCCTGGGGAGGGAGTGGAGGCTTCACATCTGAACACTTCGCTCCCTTCAACAATGCAGGCAAGGACAGCCAGTAGCATGCTAAAGGCATGGATCTTTTCAGAGCCATGTGATATTAGCAAATGCCACGAGGAAGCAAAAAGGTTAGCATAGAGCACGCATGGCTGGGGGTTAAATCTCGCACCCATACAGAGTAAGAGCTAAGACTTACCATGAGGCCCAAAAGGCTACACTAGCTAATGTTTCTAAATACTGGTCTGAGCTTGTTTTACATCTTGATGTTGTTATATAATAATGCAAAACACTAAAATAAAACTGGTTATAGCTTAACTTTTCCTGAATGTATCTATTCAGGACAGCTATTACAGAAACTGTTAGTACACAGAACGTTAACTTTAACTGGTAATGTTGATTCAACTGAATGTATTTGTCAAAGATATAATATTTTCTTTTGTAGTAGGCGTTAATATAATTTGTGTTTTAGAGAGCACTGTAGTTTTAAAACCCTATTTGTTCTTTTAAAAGAGGTCTATTTCATCCTTGTGTGTAATTATTGCCAGGGATTGGCATCACTATAAGTCACCATGTAGTGATCAATAAATACATAAAAACGTAATAGCCTGCTAAGATCTCTCCTTTCCAGTTCTAACTTGATGACAATTGAATGCTGTTAGTCAGAAGATGACAGTTATTATAATTATTTACCCTAAATAAAATCTATGAAAATATGTGGTGAGAATAAGTGTATTAATATTCTTGATAATGCGCCTTCTCTCGCTTACCTCCACTCTTTTCAGTAACAGTGAATAATACCCTCTATACAGAGACCCTCCCGAGCAAAACATTTCTTGGAAATACATTCAAGAACGCCTTTTTCACTTGGACATTTCCTATAGGAACACCTTCTTGGCAAAACTCAGTGATTCCATAGATCTGGAATTTAAATGAATTTCACTTGTAATCTATTCTAGCCTCTTTTTTCTGCAGACTTCTGTGAGAAAGGTACTCAAATACCACTGAAGTCAAATACTGCTGAACTCAACAGAAAGTAAAACTAATTTATATCATTTTACTCTCGAATACTAACACCAGTGCACATAAAGGAGGCTCAAATGCTGACATAAGATACATCAGGAGGGAATATGCTAACTTCCAGGGCTGTAGATGGGTCCGTGTAAACAGTCAGTCAAGACTGTGTCTGTTCGTAGTAGCATGTAATGTTAAGAATAGATTAAAACCAGTTTGAGGATAGGACTAAAGAGTTAATTTAATCTTTTTTCTTATGTCAGGAGATAGTCAGTGCCTCATGAATATGTTAAAGTTGTATTACATTGTATCTTACTTCATGTTTTTTTGTTATTTGGTTGAACAGACTCAGGTCTGAGGCAAGTTGGAGATGACTGATATCTGCATCCTCTGTATTGTATTAGCAGATAATAGTCTTTTGGTATAAGAGGCAGTTGTGCATGAGTGGTCTTTACTTCAAATACCGACAATGGCTGTGAAACTGCAGCTGACATGTCCTGTACAGCACTCAACCTTCAGCACCCAAGGTCTGACTATAAAGCAAGGCAGAGTTAACGTTCCGTGAATGAATAACTGTTAACATAAAGTAAAATCAAACTAAACACTGACAGCAGATTATGATCATCATAATGCTATGCGATTCCAACACAGGACAACAACAACGATCAAACAGAGTATAATATAGATGTTCTATCAGGGTGGTAAGGCTTGAGACTGATGCCTGTCACATCACATTTTAAATCACCTATTTTTAGGAATAAATTCTCTGTTTCTCCGACACTTCAGTGGATTTTAAAGTGCTGCCTCAGCATAAACTGGTGGTTTGCAGAGGACATTGGTATCATTGTCATTCTGAGTGCTCACTGTCATGGTATTTCTGGCCAGCTGTCTACAACACAGCCGCTCTGTCTTACCCAATAAGTTTGTATATGGACACTTGGCTGCCCCTCGGTGCACAGCAATTCACTGTCCTGATATCATCAGAAAAGCAGGACCATTGTGCCAAATCACTTATATGGGCACCGGCCAGATTTCCCAGCAGCAGCAGCAGCAGCCCTAACACAAGCTCTTGACACAATGGTACATTTGTAAGATCAGATCTTTTCGGCAACGCCTGCTCTTTCAAGGTCCAAGGGGAAATTACAGCCGTTGCCAATTCCACTGCTTCAATGAAGGGTGAATGTGTTTTGTTGGTCTTTGGAGTCTTCTTTTTCTACTGTTAATTGAGAAAATGCCTCAGCTTTGAATTTGTCGTTTTATGTCCATATCACCTCAATTAGCAGGCAGAGAGGATGACGCTTAAAACATTAAGATTTACTCTGCAGACATCCCGACAGCCAGCCAAAAGTGCCAGGCGCAAGCATTTAAGTAACCAACAAAGTATGTTAAATATGGACACACAGTAACACTTTAAACTAAAGATAAGGCATTCAATTTTATATGTTTTTCTTATTGTCAAAAATTCCTGTGAAAAGACCAACACCAAGAATGTGCTCTCAGTGCTTTCCGACTCCCCTACCCTGTCTGTGGCTCTCAGCCCCAAGTCTATTCATTCCCACCTAATCTTGAAAAAGGCAAACTAATTTCCTAAAACAGCAGGGCACTGTTGTTTTTAGCAAAAGTTAATCAAACAGCAGTAATAGTGCATTTGTTGGGGACTATTTTCAGCTGCGGATTAAAACACATTTAATGCGCTAGTGAGTATTTACGGCACCAAATGGGATATGGGATAGATTCAAATAAGCTACAGTGCCCAGGTTCATCGTAATGGAGGAACGTGTCATCCAGTGCAACAGTGTGGCTCACTGATGTGTTTTTAATAGTTTTTGGAAAACAATGGAGGGCTATGGCAGTACATCAGGTTTTGGCTACACAGGCAATATTTGACCGTTGGAAAAAATAAATTGTTGTTTTTTGTCTTTTCATCGGATTAGTAGACAATACAGAAAAAAAATATAGCCAGATATATGCAATTTAGGAATTGTATTATCTTAAAGAAAAGTCTATGTTTACAAAAGATATTAAATATTTTCTAAGGGAAATTGCTATAATATGAAAGAAATGTATATAAAATAAAATACATAACAAATATAAATAAGAAAATGTTTTTACAGTTTACAGCTGTGTGTCATCAGCATAACTGTGGAAATTAAGTTTATGTTCTCTGATAACATTACCTAAAGGAAGCATAAAAGTTTAAAAATGAAAGCCAACCAAGTTTTCAGGGCGCTCAATATGAATTTTCGGTGTATCAAATTCAGCACTTATATCTAATAGCAGAGACCTTAATGGCAGCAGTGCTAATCCTGAGATTGCTGACAGTTTTGGTATGTGCTGTCTCAGTGCTGTAATTTGCCCTGAACCCTGACTAAAACTTTTCTAAATTATTATATTTATTCAGGAAATTGTTAATTTGGTTTAAAAAAAAAAAAAAAAGAAGCTTTTTCCAGTGTCTTACCTAAAAATGTGAGATTAGGTATAGGCCTATAGTTTTCTCAACAGGGGTTTCATAGCTGTAATTTTGAATGATTCTGGAAAACATACAGTTTCAAGAGACATGTTAATGCTATTGATGACAATAGCTGCTCATATGGAGGTAATTTTGTTGTTAAATTAATAGTGCAAATTCCTCACATCTAGTCAAAGATATTTGGATCAGGACCTTACTGACAGGGGCAGGATTGAGCAACCGATGAACAGTGTTCTAGGATCATTTTTGCTGTCAGCACTCATCTTGGAGAAATTAACTCTTCTTGCTGAGTGTATGGCAGAAAGATATTAGTTGCTCCTTGTAAATATTACGATGGATTTTTAGACTCGTTTACCTCCATTTTCTCTCCATTTCCATGCTCCAATTCATCTGTTAATTTTATCAAATGATTTATTTTTTTCCCCTGAGTGGCATTATAAGTCAAGTTGCTATGAAAACATAACATAACATAAACATAAAAATAGATAATAACAATATAAATTTAAATTCAGAGGATTTGAAAATCAGAATGATGAGATAAACATTTGCTTGGCAGTGACCTGCTAATCAGCAGACTTTATTTTAGGGATCGGAGAGCTTCATTATGGCGAGAAATTAAGAGCCGCATCGCACAGGATCACGTGACACTGAGGTTGGTTTCAGTAAATGTTAGCTGACCCGTTTCAAAGCCACTGGGCTCCTCGGGGTGTGTGATGTTCCCTCTGTGTGTGCTGAATGAGAAAAATATGTACAAACAGCTCCATACAAGGCAAACAGGAAGAGGACTGCCTCATCAGTGTGTTCCTGTATGATTTGTGCTAAAATTATGTGTGCTTTTTCAATCTGTGTCTTTTTCATTTTTTTTTTAATGTAAACAGACAGACACAAATAAATGATCTGAAATGTGTAAGATAAATCCCTTTGAATTTGTTGTATTTGAGCATCTAATAATAATTTTCCCATCCTGCCTCCCACTGTTTTCATAGCAGAAATGCTACAGGGCCTAAGAGAGAGCGAGAGAGAGAGAG